GATTGTTTCATGACCCAATGCTAAGAGATCATAACGACCAAGATGACGAGAGTTCAATATTGGTCTGTATGTGATCTAATTGTTTGGTAATAATACCCAACACGAAATATTGGAGTAGATATCCGATGCTGAATAGATATCCGATGCTGTGGAGTGAAGAAAAAAATACTACGGCGTTTACATTAAAACATATGCAATGAAATTGACAATTTAAACAAACTGGGTTAACTAAACCCGGTACAATGTAAACGTACTATTATACTACCCATTGCAGAATTATGTATTCAGAATTTACTACTCTGATTTTGTGTTTGGAAAATTCATATTTTGTTGCTATGCCATGAATGCTATTTTGTCTATGGCTAGGCAAAAAATAAGTCTTTTCCTTGGTAATTTAAAACCCAAGGAAAGAATTTCAGCCAACCTTTTTTTGAAGCGGAATAAATCATAAATACTGTTTCTCAATGTCGACATAAAGTCTACTTTGTAAGGCTTTGAGAAATAATCTCCTTATTTCTAAAAAACAAACATTTATTGAATTTTATATTTGTAATGTAAAACCTTGTATATCTGTAAAATTTTTAAATTCGTATGTATGTAAATATAATTAAAATAAATTTATAAGTTTTCTCGAAAACAAATAATTATGTAATTAAATTAAAAAAAAAAAGAAAAATACATTTTGTAAAGCTGCTGGCAGCTTTTGTCAAACCTTTTGTGATTTAGGATATGTTTATTATAATTATCTTAAATTTATATATTAAAAAAATAACTGTTAAGTAAACAAAATTAAACACAACAAAAAATAAAATTTAAGCAAAAGACTTTGTATTTTTAAAGAAGAAAGAATTTACCTATTGTTTTGGTATACTGCGATTCGAACGAATTCTTTAATAAAATTAAATAGTAATATTATTTTAAAACAATTAAAAATATTTTTAAATAAATATAAATTAACTGGAATTCGTTCGTATCAAATGTTACTGAAACAATTAACTGTATGAAAAAAAAAACAAACAAAAAATCAAATTGTAATTTTGTAAAGCCATTTTTTGATACATTTCGGAACAACAAATAAAACATTTATATGTATTTACCACCCCTCCTCTCCAAAACAAACTCTGATATTGTTAATTTTGTTAGAAACGCAGAAAACAAAAAGAATTTAGTTTACTTTTAAACCTGTACCACAAAGTTCAATTCAATAAAAATCTTTATTCAATATCGAGGGCATTTAGCAGATTGTTTTAATCATTCTAAAGAGATAATTACAAACCTCATACGAAGGCAGTTCGGAAAGTTATTAGCCTTGCAAAAAAGACGCGGTATAAACAGAAAAAAGGTAAGTGTTTTGGAAACGTCCATCTCTCTTATGAACACATGTTAAATTTTGTTTCGGTCTGGCAATTCCTTCATATAGGAACAGGTGTTCAACGGTCAATGAAACCGTCACAAGCGCTTCCTTGAAGTTCTTCTTGCTTTCCAAAACTCCAGACACAATAGTACAACGGATTAGTATCCGTAGATTTTGGTGGCCATTGGGACCTCATTTTGTAACCATTCTTAAATGGCGGGTGTTGAGTGCGATGGCGTTGAGTCCTGTTGGAATTTCAAAGGTCTGCGCCAAAATGTTTGCATGTCCAAGGCTTTAATACATCCTCCAAAATATGTTCGCGATAATATTCTGCATTTATTCTGATGCCACGGTCGAGCGACCATCGGCTGTTATTGCGGCCGACACCATCACCATGGCCAGCGTTTGAGTTCTGGTATCCAGCCGAAGGTGCACATTTTCAGCTGACCTCTTTGGCAAGCAGTTCACCACTTTCCGCCAAGCGAAGCAACTCCTTAACTCTTTTGAGTCTATTAGCTTTCAGTTGCGGTGTAAGTTTTTGCCCTTTTTGGAATTTCAATGGCTTTACTCCGAGCTCATTTTTCAATTTTTGCCGAATGGAATATTGTGATATGTTCAGCTCACGAATCATTTTTCGGCCACTGTGACGCGGGTTTCGATCAAGTCGCTTCTTTATTTTCCGAACTATTTTGGCTGATGTTGCTGTTCTTTCCATCCACTTCCTTGACGTCGGGCTACGCTACCAGTATCACTGCAACGAGCGATGGTACGAGACACAAAATATTTATTCACGTTTAAATGCTGGAGTGCTCTAACGATAGACGCTTGTGGTTTTCCACCCAAATATAAAGAAATCACACAATCACGCTTGAATTCCATCACGACTTACCTTTTTTTCGGAAAATTCTCACCAAAAAGCTTTTGTACGCTTGTAAACAATATAATGAGCTGTCACTGGAATAATTTTAAGAGCTGTCGGACGAGAGGCTTAGAAATGACGGCAGTTTTTTCATATCTGTATATTATAGATGCGGAAAGTTATAGTTATTGGTTCATGTATGGAGTGACGGAATTTATGGGAAGGGTTTTGTAGTGGTAAAATGTTAGGTTGTGAGCTGCAGAAAATTCGCCACTTCTACTGGACTCAGTCACAGATCAGTGGGACGAAGATCCGTGGGCTGAACTGGACATGCAAATAAATAACCTGTATTATGCGGGCCCTGTTTACAATTGGATCCGGCGACTCTTGCTGGATACACATATAGGATGACTGACCATCCTGACTGTAGCTACTCTAAGATGGTTCAGGTTCTTCTGGGCAGGAGGTTGAAAGTTAAAGACACGATTTGGTTCATGCTCATTGACAGCTTGCTGGACTGTCTGAGGGTAAACAGTCCTCGGCGATACAGCTAGTGACAATCGCTCAATGTCTCAATGGAGTTTATGGTCGGAATCAGTTCACCATCGGCCATTATGTTCAGCAGGAGCTTTATTTCAGCCGTCCATGTAATGAAAAGTGCAGCTGTTGATTTTGTGGTGAATATTTTCCTATTCCTCAGATGAAAGAAATTTACAATTTCAGCTATGTAAAAGTTTAACCTCTCACAAATGTCATTAATAATGGACCCGACAATTCCGGAGATATGACCCCTCCTTAGGGATTTCGGACTTCCTGTTTCTGGATTCCACATACGTATGATTGGCGTCCATATATAGTTGATTACCTAACGTTTCATACAGGGCCAAGTACCACCATAACTGTTCGGTTACACGGTCAGTTCTGGCTAGGTTCTCTGCTAATGTGTGTGAAAATGGCGTGTAATGCTGTTGTGGTGCTGTGCATCTTACGGAATCCATGCTGATGTTGGGTAACTGGAAAGCTGTTTCATAGCAATGGGAGGAGTAGCGCTTAAAGTGTCTTTGCTTCAGAAAGGTGGAGGTTAAACAATTCCGGAAATATGTCCCCTCCTTGCATGCTTGAACTTCCTGTTTCTGAATTCCACATAGGTATAACTGGCGTCCACACATTTGTCTTCTTTATGTCATCAAACAACTTGGCATGGTTGACGGCGTCGAAGGCCTTGGATAGGTCAAGTGCCACCATTACTGTTCGGTTGTCATGGTAAAATGGCATGAAATGCTGTAGTGGTGCCGTGCATCTTACGGAATCCAAGCTGATGTTGGGCAAATGGAAAACTGCTTCTCAGCGCTTTATGTGTCTTTGCTAGTGGTGACAGGAGTGAAATCGTCCTATACGTTTTACACCTGCTGGCATCCTTGCAAGACTTCAGTAGCGGCACCACCCTGTCTATTTCCCAGACTTCAGGACATATGTGCATACTTAAGCTTTATCATGGATTTTTGTCCGGTCCCAATGCTTTGTATGAATCAGCGTTTTTAATGACATCTGCAATGTCCTTCCTCCTAAACTCGGAGTCCCTAATGCGCCTAGTAAATTTTGGGTGCTCTATGACTTGTCGTTTAAAATAACACGCGCACCCCTTCGGGATCTGTACTTTAATATTTTCTTCCTGAATTCAAGAGTTACTTACTTTACTTGAACCGGTGACAATGTTACATTGCTTCAGGTGGTCTGGCCAATTTTTCTATTTGTGTTCGCATACTAACCTGTTGACTTTGGATCTTCAGGGGTCGTACGTTCAGTGGCCAGTACCGTCGCCTCTGCTGGGATGTTTAGTCTTACTTTGGGTATTCCACCAGTATTTATGAAGCGATGTGCTTTCGGTCATACTTGCCCTGGAAGATTTGTCTAATCGTAACACAAGTAGTTTCCAACTTGGTTATCCTCCCTGTGAAAGACTTCCCACTTCTTCACAAGAAGTGCCTTGCTTTTTTTGAACCGAAACACTGATGCTCCTCTATCTGCTCTATACGGTGTGAAACTCTTGGTGGGATTTCGCACCATCGATCCTAATTTCCTATGCCATTATTAAAGTTGGGTAATTTCGTTCTATGAAGCGGTCCTACTATTTTCGATTCGATCCGAAAAAGGAACTGAGTCATTCATTTTGTTTCACAGTTCAATTAGTTCAAACGTTCATTGCCAGTTCGTTCGATTAATGAACGGGAAGATCTATATGAACGATTGGATCAAAAAGAACGAGTGAACGAGAGCAGAAAGGTAAGACCCGAAGAAAAGGATTTGGATGAAAGAAGGAAACGAACCTAGTACCGACCTTCCTGGTTCGAAATAGTTCCTTTGAACTAGTACTTTCCGGAAAGACACCACAATTCCTATAGAATCTTTTGTAAAGTGAATTTTTTTCGCCTGTTGGCAGGAGAGAAGACCAATATCGCTTTTGTCGCCGGTAGCAGGACTCGTGGGACCCTTGTGTATAAATTAAATAGTCGTGGCATTTTTAATATGTCCTCGTATGTCTGATAGATCAGGTCGTCATAACAGAGTTGTATTTCGCTTTATTTAAATAGCTACAATCCATCGAAACAGGGTCATATATTTTTTATTTTTATTTGCCAGAACTTACCATTTTTTGTACCACATTTCCAATAATCTTTAAGATTTCTCATCAATATTTAAACAAAAAAATATTTCTCAAAATGTTCATTTATTTAAAAAAAAAAACAACTAGAAATAATTGCAAAAAAATTAACTAAAGTTTAAATTTCACTTTTTCTTCGCCAGCAAAAGACGTTTACCCTGAACCTCATTGGGTAAACCATTGAACACCCGTTTAAAATCCTGCAGCGTACAACAGAATGTATAACCTTTCGACCGATTTTCAAATTCGTTTTGATACAAATTTGCCTTTTGACAAACATTTGGACACACCTCCGCCGAAAGGGGATCCGACAAAAATGGGTTATTAACATTTAGAAAAACAATTGCTTCGTCGGCCGATTTCCTTGTTAATACCTTAAAATAATATTTCGGTATATAGAATTGTTGTTGATTATCTAAATAGAGTGTTACTTGGACGCCACTTGCATTCGGTAATTGTACCACACCAAAATAACCATTGTATGATTCAATATCTTCGCGATAGTCAGCGGCCAATGATCGCGCCATATCTTCAACTTTTAACCAATTACCACCATTAATTGGTTGAAATTGTGGTGCAACATTCATGTAATAATAAGTTGACAGTTGCTCATAGCCAAACATAAAGTCGGCATCGGGTGTTAAATGACCGCGTGATAAAAAGTTTTTCTTTTCATCGTAGTATATTTGATCCGCACCAAATAGGGCTTCGAATCGTGCCAGCTGATTTTTCTTTGTATAGAATTCGTTTACTTTGCGGGTATTCGAGGACATGTGTTTCGCTAGAAATGGTCGTCGAGTACTTTCGGCAATATTATCTAAAGGGAAACAAAGAAAACAATTAATTAAAAAGAGAAGTCTAAGATTTCTTTACGAAATTTTTACGAGCTCAAAAACTTATAACAAAACATTTCTTATTTTTAAAGGATACTGTTCCGAGAATCCATTGATAGACAGTGACAAGTATCAAGGCGAGTAGTACCGGCAAGGAATTTAACGAAAAGCCTCGGAATCCTAACAAAACACATGGACAATATAGATGGGGAAGATAGCAGCCGACAAAGGCGAGGCACCGCCTTCTAACCCAAATGCCCGGCAGCACAACATTGATCGGCTATCTGCTATTACGCTATAAATTATTGGAGGGAATTAAAGTAAATGTGTTGTGGAAGTGAGAGAGAGTCCTGACCTACAAAATGCGACGTCCTTCGTTAGAGTATGTGGCAGTGAATTCATGACAAGTGGGAAATCCATGCCATAGGTAGGATAATGAAGGCAAGTCTGGCCAAGGACGGATCTTTCTATGTGTTGTTCCTCTAGGTCCTTGTGGAAAAGTATCCTACGGAGGGCAGAGTTGAATGCTAATACTTGGGTAGCTGTAAATATAAATATACAGTACCGGACAATAAGCAGGTCTTGGGGGAGACTCTCGGAGAAAATGACCGAGTACCCATTGCACCTCCAAATATCCAATTCTCACGTCTTAGGTCACTCCCTTCCTAACTGGCATACCTAACGCTAGGATGTTAGGCGGCCTTGTGACCATCAGTGTTTACGGTTTGCAGTCAGGGTCCCGACTGATACGTGGGTGCCTCAACAAGTTCTTTAGGCTTAGTTGCCGAGTCCTTACTATGGTAAGATGCTATGACGTGGCTGATCTCATGTCTTCATTCAGCAAAACTTTTAATGAGCCGACTTTTTAAACTCCACTCCCATCTTCAAAAAAAAGCACTACCTATGATCACGTATCGGACCATTCTTTTGTCTCATCAAACCCCATTACTCTGGATGATGTCAATGCAAGCCTGGAGAGGCATATGGACCTTTTTCTCGATCTTATTGAGGGCACCGTTTCGTTCCGCCTTAGTCATGAGAATATCCCGACTCAACTCTGGGATGATTCGCCCTTGAAAGACGATGGCTATCTTTGCGACTCTTCCAAATCAAGGTTAGTCTTCTACGATGATTAGAAAGGTTGCGATCCCTGGCGAGGATGAATATCCCAACTCTATCTCCACGCGCGCAGCGAAGTGTCGAAACTCGAAACTGAGGAGGTTGGCCGTTGAAGTGAAGACAGGTGCTCAAGAACCTCTCATCGAAATGATCGATGAATCACCGGCACAAGGAACTATCAAACTCGTCAATGCCTAGGAGATCACTGGCAATAATGTTTGCCAGGGAGCAGTAAATGTCTGCAACCGTTTTATCGGACGGGACAGAGACTCGTTTACGGATAAGGAGTACCTTCAAACTAAGAGGAATCTCAAATTCATTTGGAAGTTCTCTAGGAACTATCCGAATGGCATTGCGAGTGACTTCTAAATATATAGAATTCCTACGTCACGTGCGAAGTCAGTCACAGTAACCCATCCAAGGGAGGAGAAGACTGTGAATTGTCCCGACTGTATTCGAGCGGAGCCTTGCTGATACTTGGGCGCCTCAAAAGTTCTTCTTCAGATCTGGAGAGGCATACGGATTCTGTGATGACTCACCCATGACAGACAAGCCCAAAATCACGGCGTACAGCGAAGTCTCGAGACTTCGTTGAAGAAGAGACTGAATCACCGGCACAAGGAACTACCAAACGCGCCAATGCCAGAGATCTCTTTGGCAAGAAGATTTACGGCAGCGTAGTTAATTTCTGCAACCGGTTTTTATCGGACAGGACAGAAACTCAATTACGGAGAAAGAATTTCTTTCTAATTAAAAGGAATCTCAAATTCATTCCGAAGTTCTCTACGAACTATCGGAATGACATTGCGTATGACTTCATATTAGATCGAATTCCTACGTCACGAAGCCAATCACAGTAGCCCCTCCAAAGGAGGAGAAGACTTTTATTTGTCTGAAAACAACCAGGACGATGATGGCAAGGACTTCTGAGCACTTAGCAAGGGATACCTGAGTGTTGAGAAGTTCCTATAATCAACCTCCACTGCGAATAAAGGTAAGATAGTGTCAAAGTCCGCCCAAAAGAGAGCCCGTAAAAGGCTTCCTGAAAGGCTGATAAACTACAACCTGCCTCTAAGCTGTTATCCAAACCATCCAATCCGCCCATTGTTGAATTGTCAAAAACTAAATCCAAGGTTACGACAATTGAGTAACTGTTAGTGGATAAACCAAAGGTCTCGAACACGAAGCTAGTGCTCGCGATAGCTCAACCTCTGCGACAGCTGCTACTCTGGGGACCGAATCACGACAAAAGGAACTTCAATAGCAAAATGGACTAGATGAAAGAAAGATCTGGACCTAGTACCAATGGTTCCTTTTGCGAAACAGCTTCTTTGGAGTAGATCGTAGATAGCTACAATAGCAATAGGAACTAGATGAAGGAAATAGGTTGCGAAATAGGTTGCACAATATTCGATTAACTGTCAAATTTCATAGTTTTTACTTGAATTTGACGTGCAATGTTGCCAACCATTAGAAATATTACTAGATAAAATTTGATAGATGATCTGTGGGTTTTAATAAAACATCTTATTATTGAATCAAATGTCGTGATCTTCAAGATTATAAAGGTTAGAATTGTAGCGAAAGAAGCCAAATGCAATATTAGAGAGAGAGAGAGAGAGAAGTGCTGCGAAATCATCGTGGATCGACGGAGCTAAGTCAGGAACCTTGGACTGTTGAAAACATGGTCTCTGTGTTATAACACATGCTACCAACTCTTCTTCTATGCTAGGACGGGTGCTCGACCGAGTTACTGTATAATATGACACCTCCGAAATCAGTTTTAAAATAAAGGAAGACTCCCCTAATGAATTCCACACAATTAGTAATAATTATACTTACACCGAATAACAGCTCCATGCAAAGTGTTATGTGTGTACAGTGTCGTTTCCGTCGTTTTATTGTAGCATATTTCAAAAATCCGGTAAAATTTATCACCTGGTATTTCAATACCAGCTTCATGTATATAGCCACGATTATTTGAACATTTCTGCGAGGTTTTTTGTAATGCCGATTCAGGTATTGTATTACAAACCAACGAATTTAATTGCACTGGATTATTATTCGCATCAACAAATTGTCCGCCTGCACTGCAAGTAAGTTCGGCGGTATTGATTCCCAATGATGTTATAACGTTTTTAGAACCCGTACAGATTAAACGTAATTTTGAATTTTCAGGAAATCTATTCACTTTTCCAGTGGGTTTAAAGAGGGAATATGTGGCTTGAGTTGTTGGTGTTTTGGTGAGTATGACTGGAGAGTATCCTTTAATATCCTGGGGTAAGGTAATTGTACAGGGTGTGGCAGTTGTGGCTGAAAGGAAGAATGTGAAAAAAGTGGAATTAGTTTTTAGTGATAATAGAAAATAAATTGAAACTAATTAGAAGATACGTCGATATTGGTAAAGAAAGAAATTCAGGCACAAAGGTTATTTGGAAAAAATTATGAAATGTTTAAGATCAATTAAATTTGAACTTGCAACAGAAACCCGGGTAACAAGTAATAAAAAAACCTAATACACCGATGGAGTCAATGCTGAAAAATGCAGATACGATACATTGTCAATGAGCACCAATCAGAAATCTAACACGCTTTTCAACCAAATTTAATCTAATTTGATATTTTGATTGAAAACTTGCCAACTAAAATGATCAAACGTTAAAACTGCAACAAATTTCTGGAACGAATTGACTCTAGTTCTCATTAGATGACAAATCTTCCTACCATAAATGATTAAAATCGGTCCACGTTATAACGGTATCCCTAGTTTAACGGTATCCCTAGTTTTTGGTATTTTGAGGCTTTCAGGCATGTTTTCTAATCGTCACGCGTCTTATTCGGCATATTCAAGGTCTTCGCCCAATTTTTTTGTGGATTTCCGGAACGAATTGTCTACAATTCTCTCATTGGCTCGTGAGTTGCGATATTCCATTCGGCAAGTATTGAAAAATGAGCTCGGGATAAAGCCATTGAAATTCCAAAAAGTGCAACAGAAAGGAAATATACTCAAAAGAGCTAAAGAGTTCCTTCGCTTGGCCGAAAGTGGTGAACTACCGAATTTGGTTTTCTCCGGTGAGAAAACATTCGTTATCCCGCATTTTGTAAACAAACAAAATGATCGTGTTTACTTGCCAAAGAGATCAGCTGAAAAAGTGTACCTTCGGTTGGCCACCAGAACTCAAGCGCTGGCCATGGTGATGGTGTGGGCCGATGGTCGCTCTCCGCTCGTATTAATCGGCCGTGGCATCAGAATAAATGCCGAATATTATCGCGAAAATATTCTGGAGGGTGTATTTAAGTCTTGGGCAGGCAAACATTTTGGCCGCAGATCTTGGACACCAGGACTCAGCACCATCGCACTCAGCACGCGCCACCCAAGAATGGTTACAAAATGAGGTCCCTCGCATCATTTATTACAAAAGTGTCGATCACCTCAAGCAAGCGCTTCGCCGGGAATGGACCAAAATACCGCAGAGCAATATTCGTGCAGCGGGTGATGGTTTCATTGGCAGTCCATAAGGCCATAATTCGTGCCAAATGTGACCAATTCGAACAAATCTAAACTTATTCTAAAATTTGATGCTATTTCCGACATTTTTGCTCTCATTCAGTAAACTTAAAAAAATGTAAAAATTATGGCGTTTGACATTGTTGCAGTTTTTTTATATCTGATATAGGTAGAATATATTTTATTAGGAGTACTCCCAAAGAGGTCTTCTATAGGCAGAACTTTTATATAGAGAGACAGCACTTTGTCTATAACTATAAGACCTATATATATATATATATATATATATTGAATAACAATAAACAGATCTTCGACTTCGTATTTTACTGGGTCTGATTAATCATCGTTTTAGTAATTTCAAACACTCACTCTCTATAAAAAAAAAACTTACTTGGTATTAAACTAATGACTTAATATCTGACGTGTTCGTTAATTGTTGTAATATTGAATAAAATTAAACAATACAATGCAAAACACACAAAAAACTTAAACAACAAAACAAGTTGTTAAATTTACTTCTCATTTTTTTTTGTATTTGTTAATGAAAAATACAATAAAAATAAAAACATTTTATATTCCCCATTCACAAAAACAAAACAAACGTCCAACAGGTGTTTGTGAAAAGAAAGTAATTTTAACAAAAACAAAAAAACCCGATAACACTCTTAACCTCCCCTTTCCCTTGTGTGTTTACTTACCCGCAATAACACCACCGAACGCCAAAATTGCCAGCACAACATTTAAATTCAACTTCAGCAACATCTTTTATCTAGATTAGAGCGACACTATTGGGCGCCACTACTCGAGATCTTCACTGCAAGTAAGAGAATATCTAACTGAGTTGAGTTGAGGAGGTGGCTAACGGATGAAAACAACGGTCGTTTTCAGTTGTTTGTCATGTTTTGTTTTTAATTTTTGTTGTTGTTATTATTTTAACTTTCCATTCAAACGTTTTGACGTTATTACTCTCTTCAAGAGATCACAGTCAACAACTGACTGCATATTTGCTCAAGATGAAGAAAAAAAGCACACACTTTTATTTAAATAATATTTATTTTTGTATACACTGAAACACTGAAGAGTGTGTTATTGCTGTTCTTTTTTTCGATTTTTATTAAAATAATGACGAACAAATAAATATTACAAACAATATTGAATATATAATAAAGAATAAATAATATATTTGAAAATAGAATTCTTTAATAAAAATGTGTTTTGTTGTTAACTCATCATCGTCATCATCAGCAGAGTACATTGCATTGGGTTGGGTTCCAGGTCAAAACAAATTAATATATCGCCAAATTTTTCTAATTTTGAAAAAAAATAAATAACAAGTAGACAAATGGTTTCAATGAGATAACAGACAAACCAGATGTTGAAAATTATAAAGAACAAAGAATTTTAACAGTCTCCTATCGATAATAGACACCTATTTTAAGATCTTTTATATACAGGGTGAAATAAAAAAACTGCAACAAAGTCAAACGCCATAATTGTTAATTTTATTGAATGAAAACAAAAATGTCGGAAATAGCATCAAGTTTTAGAATAAAATGAATGAAACCGTCACACGCTGCCCGAATGTTGCTCTGTTGTATTTTGGCCCATTTCCGGCGAAGCGCTTGCTTAAGGTGATCGACACTTTGGTATTTTTTAGTGCTAACTTTGTTTTCCAAAATACTCCAGACACAATAGTCCAACGGATAGGTGTCCGGAAATTTTGGTGGCCTCTGTGCGCTGGAAATGAAGAGAGGAACCTCATTGTGTAACCATTCTTGGGTGGCGCGTGCTGAGTCCTGTTGAAATGTCCAAGGTTTGTCGAATGGAATATTGCGATATGTTCAGCACGCGAGCCATTTTTTCGACCAGTGCCAGTGACTTTTTACCATTTACAAAATAATAATAAAATTTAGAAAATAGGTCATTTGAGAATTTTGCAGACAGATCTTTCCGATTTGGTATATAAATGTTATTCAATGATATGCTCCTTTTAAACCCTGGTTCATGTTTTATTTGGGTGGCATAAGGGATGATAGATACCAAACAACGGCTCTGATTGGCTTTAACATGGGAAGTCCAGGCTTATATTGGTCCCTCTTTCATCTCGATTGTGGACACTGACCTTCCCACGGAGCCACCTGGGGAGCTATTTTCATCACCCGATGAAATAGTAAGCTAATATGTGCCGCGAGTTCACCCATAAGAACTATAAAATAATGGGTTGAGGCGTCGGGTTAGTTGCAATGGAAAGGGACTGGCGTAAGTAAATCAGATGATTACGCCCTGTATTATAGCTGCCATGAAACGAGACGTGAATTTGGCTACGGATTTATGGTTAATAGGAGAATAAAAGACGTCGTCTCCAGCTTCACTCCAGTGGATGAGCGAATTGCTATAATCCGTATAAAAGCGAAGTTCTTCTACATCAGTCTTATTTGCGCTCATGCTCCGACCGATGACAAAGATGAACAGACCAAAGACATTTTTTGGGAGTACTCGAAACTGCATATTGCCGCTGTCCTGGCCATGACATTAAAATTTTGCTATGAGATTTTAATGCAAAAATCGGAAGGGAAAATATCTTTAACTTCACCGTGGGAAAATACAGCCTCTATGAAGAAACATGAGACAACGGCATGAAGTTGATTGACTTCGCGGCAGCAAAAAACATGGTAGTTAGCAGTAACAGATTCAAGAGGAACTGTGGACCTTCAATTTAATATCAAATCCACTGATATGGACGATATACTTAATTTTTTAAAGGGATCTGCAAATTTCATATCATAATAATGCCATTACAAGAGAAGACAAATATCGCGAAGATTTTGATTTTTAGGAACTTTTTTCGAAGAAATAACTCTTAATATACAAAAAGATATAAACAGGCGTAAGCCAAGTTTGCTGTTTTTATAAAAACAACTATTTATTAGTGGGGAAAATATGGTCCACAAAACAAATCTAAAACCCATATATACTTCAATAATTCATTTATTCTTTTATTTGCAAAAAACTCCACTTCGAAACTTGTCAACACTTAATTTTTACGTGTCATCAATTTGCCAGCCTCAACATCTTCGAGTAGACCTTCATAAAGCAATTTGAATTCATCCAAACGGCAACAGAACGTATAACCCTTCGATAATGTAGGGAAATTGTCATGTTTCAAATCGGCCTGATCGCAGACATTTTCACAAATCTCCTCCGCTTCGCCATCGGCAGCAAATGGATTATTGACCGTTACAACGACAATACCCTCATCACTGGGCTTGTGCAACAATACTTTGAAATAATATTTAGGTGCCTCAATCTTCTTACCATCATCCAAGAAAATATCAACCAATTGACCATTGTTCTTTGCCAATTGCAATTGACCCAAATAGCCATTATACGTTTCCAAATCATTACCATACGAGGCAGCAACGGATCGTGCCAATTCTTCAACACGTAACCAATTACCAGCATTGATTAGTTAGCCAATTTTTCATAGCCAAAAATGAAATCAGCATCTGGCCACGGACAAATGGCCACGGGCAAAGTTATCCAAACCATCAATATGGGTTTGTTTCGAACCGAACAATTTCTTGAACAATTCAACTTGATTGGCCTTGGTGTAGTATTCGTTGGTTTTGGTGGTCGAATGTTTCATGCCTTTGGCACTGAAGGCACGGCGTGTACTTTCCGAAATGGCATCTATTACGAGGAGAGAGGAGAAAAAGGGTAAATTTGCTGGAGAATCCTTGTTTCTGCATAAATTAAAAAAATCTCTACTTACTATCAATGGTAGCACCATTAATGGTATTATGTGTATACCAGGTATGCTCATCATCATCATTGTAGCATATCTCAAATACTGGACCATAGAATTTCTTTCGCAATGGCGAACGAGGAAAACAATTTAGATTATTTCTTCCTTAAGAAGAGGATCTTTTGTTAAATTAAAATATCCTTAAAAGACCCGTTGGTTTTTTTAAAGCCTTGTGTTTTCAAGACACCGTTAGATGGTTATATATCAGTAGCCATAATGGAGCAGTATATATAGTCCACATGGGGAAATGTTCTGTATCCACTCTTTTTTGGTACATTGTTTGACTTCGTCTGGCCATGTGCAAAGAAAAGTTCTACCAGACGAGAACGTGTACTAGTTTCTATTGTTAACTGGACATTGTGTCGATTTGAATTGATTGTCTGGAGTCAGTAAATAACAATTTTTTTTTGTTTTTGCAAAATTCAGCCTGACTATTTTGCAAAAACAAAATACAAATGGTATCCCAAACAGACCGCCAACACTACAGAATTTTTTTTTATAACACTGTGCGACAAATTTGAATTTTTTTGATAATTACCGGGAAATTCCAACAGATTATGAAAGAGGGGCTAAAAAAAAAGACACGTGTATCGGCGTTTTGAAAGTTTACGTCGAAAGGTAACCTAAAAAGGGGGGACAATATTCCCCCTTTTCTAGAATTTTTATAATTTTCGAATTATGATTTCATGAAATCCTTGCATTTAAGGTATATAGTGCATTAAAGTAACATGAAACTTAATTTTAGGTATATAATGTCAAAGAATAAAATATTCTGCGTCAAAATCCACTTCAAGTCTCTGAATAAACTATATATTTATATTCAATAGTTTTTTAAGAAATTTACAGTACAAAATTAACTAAAGTATGCAAAAAATTGTTGGTATTATATAAAATTTTATAATGTAAATTTCTTAAAAACTATTGAATATAAATATATAGTTTATTCGGAGACTTGAAGTGGATTTTGACGTAGAATATTTTATTCTTTGACATTATATACCTAAAATTAAGTTTCATGTTACTTTAATGCACTTAGTCGAAAAAAATACTGGGAAATGTCTTCGTAAAAAAATACAAGAACATTTTGAATTTTTGGTTCAAAATGTATGACTATATATTCGGTATATACATTATATATACAGATTTCTCTTGTTCAGTGACTTATGCTAAAAATTGATGGAGAATATTTTTGTCCCTTATAATATTCTTCTAAAACGACATCTTGTGGGAAAAATGGGTAAAAACTAGTAATAAGTACGATATTAACCCTAAAATGAGTTTTTGTTTTTTAAGATTATTGACACTTAGACTGATTTTTGAGTTTTAGTCTATTCTGAGACTTATAGTAAAATTTTATGGCGAACATTTCTGTAGAATATTCTGTACAGCTTTAACCCCGTTTTGAATGAGTTTTCAATCACTCCTGGAAAAGGGGACCGAATATTTTTCCGATATTTTATCAGTAATGTACTATATACCTAAAATGCAAGGATTTCATGAAATCATAATTCGAAAATTATAAAAATTCTAGAAAAGGGGAAATATTGTCCCTCCTTTTTAGGTTACCTCCCGACGTAAACTTTCAAAACGCCGATACACGTGTCTTCTTTTTTTAGCCCCCCTTTCATAATCTGTTGGAATTTCCCGGTAATTATTTTTTGTGTTGCACAGTGTAATAAAAGAAATGGTTCTTTGATGATAAATTGTTGTAACAGACCTTTATTTTTAAGGCAAGTGTCTGGTTTGAAGTAACAATTGTTACGTTCACAAGTTTATTGCAAAATTTGTGGTTGGAATTGGAACCCATTTTTATATTATACCTCAAAGCTTGTAATCAATCAATATGTGCGAGGTAGGTTTTTTCTTTGGACTAGAAAGGATTTTTGAGGACGGAAGCTTGATTTAAAAAAAATATATCCCTTATGTGATTTCTAATCATCACCATATGAAGCAGCATCGGAATGAGCCAATTCTTTAACACATAACCAACATCCAGCATTTCTTAGCTGATTAAAATATGTAGCCAGTTTTGCATGTAGCCAAAAAAGAAATAAACATCTGGCATTCAATGACCACGAGCAAAGTAATCCGAACCATAAATATAGGTTTTTTTCGAACCGAACAATTTCTTGAACAATTCGGCTTGATCGAATATTTCATGCGTTTGGCACTGAACGAACGGCGAGTACTGTTTATTTCTTTGGTCTAAGAACGAATTTTTTGAGTCGGAATAAAGAGTTTTAATTTTCAAAGACTATTGAAAGGACTTCTATCGATCTATGGTCTTTTCAAAGGCTTTCAATGTATAGAAGATTTTTTTAGAAATCCCTTCATTAAAAAAAAATATGTTTTAGCAGTCCATTACTAATTAAATCTTCCTTGAAAGGTAGGTACAAATTTCAGCTATTAAAAACTCCATATTTAAGGTACTTGTATTCCAATAAAACAATTTTATTTTATATTTTTTATCTTATTAATATTTTAACAATATTACATGCTTCCCTTAAATATTATATGCAAATTATTATGGTTATATATACATTTAAATTTATATATTTTTAAATTTTTCTAACCAACAATTTCTCTGCCACAACATCCTCGGGTAAACCATCATAACTCAATTTGAAATCTTCCAAACGGCAACAGAATGTATAACCCTTCGAAAGGGTTGGGAAATTATCATGTTTCAAATCGGCCTGGTCACAGACACTTTCACAAATTTCCCTCGCCTGACCATCCACGACATAAGGATTATTGACTGTGACAAAAACAATAGCCGCATCGATAGCTTTATTTAACAAGACCTTAAAATAATATTCAGGCACTTCAATTTGTTTGGCATCGTCCAAATAAATATCAATCAATTGACCATTTACGGTGGGTAATTGTAGCTGTCCGAAATAACCATTATAGGTATCCAAATCATTGCCATATGCAGCGGCAACGGAACGTGCCAATTCTTCAACACGTAACCAATTGCCAGCATTAACGGGTTGAAATTCCGGAGCTACATTGGCATAATAATAGGTTGATAGCTGTTCATAACCAAAAACGAAATCAGCATCAGGAGTTAAATGGCCACGGGCCAAGTAGTTTATGGAATCAATATAGGTTTGATCCGCTCCAAAGTAGTTTTCAAAACGTTGAATTTGATTTTTCTGTGTATAATAGGTATTCGTTTTGGTGGTGGTCAGCTGCATGCCTTCGGCAGAGAATGAACGACGAGTGCTCTCTTTTATGTTATCTGTGGAGAAGAGAGGTTAATGGAATATTAATATCTACCAAGACCAATTGGTCTTTGTAAAGACCTATGGTCTCCATATAGACCAATTGGTCTTTATAAAGACCTATGGTCTCCATCTAGACCAATTGGTCTTTATAAAGACCTATGGTCTCCATATAGTCTTTATACCAATTGGTCTTTGTAAAGACCTATGGTCTCCATATAGACCAAGTGGTCTTTGTAAAAACCTATGGTCTCCATATAGACCAATTGGTCTTTATAAAGATCTATGGTCTCCATATAGACCAATTGGTCTTTATAAAGACCTATGTTCTCCATTTAGTCCAATTGGTCATTATAAAGACCTATAAAGGCCAATTGGTCTCCATTTAGACCAATTGGTCTTTATAAACATCTGTGGTCTCCATATAGACCAATTCTTCTTTATAAAGACCTGTGGTTTCCATATAGACGAATTGGTCTTTATAAATACCTATGGTCTCCATTTAGACCAATTGGTCTTTATAAACACCTGTGGTCTCCATATAGACCAATTGGTCTTTATAAAGACCTATGGTCTCCATATAGACCAATTGGTCTTTATAAAGACCTATGGTCTCCATATAGACCAATTGGTCTTTATAAAGACCTGTGGTCTCCATATAGACCAATTGGTCTTTATAAAGACCTGTGGTCTCCATATAGACCAATTGGTCTTTATAAAGACCTGTGGTCTCCATATAGACCAATTAGTCTTTATAAAGACCTATGGTCTTTATATAGACCTATGGTCTCCATATAGACCACTTAGTCTTTATAAAGACCTGAGGTCTCTACATAGGCCAATTGGTCGTTATAAAGACCTTTGGTCTGTATATAGACCAATTAGTCTTCATTTCTTCCTCTTCCCTTTCTTCATACTCACAATCAATAGCTGCACCATTGATGACATTATGCGTATAGAATGTTGACTCCGTGATGTTATCATAACATATTTCAAAAACGGGTCCATAAAATGTACCATCCACAATATAGCCAGCTTCGAAAATTGTACCACGTTCTTGAGAACATTCATTATTGGTCAGCTTCAACGATGAACTTGGTATCGATTTACAAACCACATCCTTTAGTTGATAGGCATTATTATTGGAATCGACAAATTCATTCGCAGAACATTGTAATTCCAAACTGGGCACATTCAAGGATGTTATGATATTTTTATTACCAGTACACACCAGATAAAGGCTAGCGCCTTCTGGTATTTCTGTCGTTTGCCCTGTCGGCTTAAATAGTTGATAATCTCCAGAAGAGGGATTTGTGCTTACCAGAATAACTGGTGCAAATCCTTGAATGTCATCGGGTAGGGTTATTGTACAGGCATTTATGGTTAGGGCTGGTGAAGAAAATAAACAAATAGAATCGATTTTTTTTAAATTGATTTTTTATAACGATTTTTTTTCTCAAAATACCAACACAAGCATTGATTTTTTTTAAGAATAGCTTAAATTTTTTAATGAATATACTTTAAAAGACCCTACTTGGGCCAAGGATTTTTAAGAATATTTTTACCAAGCATTTATTTTTTCAAAGTCCCAGCATCGACATGGATTCAAAAAATTTTATATTTTTGAACGAAATTCAAAAGAAAAACAACTAAAGAATAGTTTGAATTTTGTAATGAATATTCTTTAAAAGACCCAGCCCTAGAATTTTTAAAGAAAATGATTTTTTTAAAAATATTTTTTACGAAGAATATTTTTTCCAAAGTTCCAGCACCGACATTGATTTAATAATTTTTATATTTTTGAACGAAATTCAGAAGCGGGAATTGTTCGGGTCCAAAATATATTTTTGAGATCCAAGTCTAGTGTATTCCTTAATATTGGCATTTTCTTCAGCAGCATTTTCTTAACTTACCCAATAACGAAACTGTTAACAGTGTGCCAAATAACTTTGTTATACGCATTATGGCAAAAGAAAAAAATATATATCGAACACTAAATTCTACCAACCAAATACTCCACTTTTTAAGCCAACATTAAAAATATTATCGAAATGTTAACTCCATTTATACGCCACATTTGTTTAATCCCATAACTATAATTTGTATTTATTTTTAAATATATATTTTTTTATTATAAAATTCCCATTATTGTTGTTGTTGTTAATCAACAAATAAAGCTGTTAACTTGTCTGAGTATTTGAAACCATATGCTAAATAGAAAAAAATTGCATTACCATGCCTGTCATATTTTCTTATCAAGTCAATACGTACCTTGGCGTAGACAATTGAATGGAACTGTGTTATTAAGTTTTCGTTTTTTTATTTTTTCGCCAAACATGAATTAAGCAAATAATATGAAATACAAGAAATTTCAAAGTTTATTATTAACTAAAATTTTATTATTTATATAGGAAAACTAATATTTTTCAAATCTAATTGTTTAACATTTATACTGTAGTTTAAATGGAAATTTACTTTGCTTTTTTAATATCATTTCGGATGTTGGCAGTATATTCGAAATGAGAAAGATAATGACGATATTCAAAATTATAACATTTTATGCATTATTAACACTCTTAAGAACCTTCTGGAATTTCCAAAAGACATTCGATAATGTGAAAATAGTTGTGTCGATTTCTGGAAAATATCTTAATATTTGAATACTCTCAGTTGTTTGGAATCTTTCTGTGGTTCTTTGAAGAAAAATCCTATCAAAAAAGCTTTTTCTATGAAAAAATTAAATCCCACTTTTCAACAGTTCAATAAATTAATTTTACTATAAAAATTAAAATTAATTTAATACTTCATTTCAAGGTTCTTCATTTATTTATATATTTAAAAATTAAAATTATATTCTATTTCTAAATCTATTAAAAATAAGATCCTACTTTAGTCTACTACTACTTTCCCTACTTTTTAAGCAACTCTACCGCTGCTCTCTACGATTCTCTTTTGAATTTCTACCTCCTTGTCACATTTTATACCTCTCACTTCTATAAACTCAGCAGAGTTACTTACAAAACTCCAGACTTACAGCCGTTCAGCAATTAACTTTTTCTCTACAAATTGAAATTAATTCAATACACCATTTATTTATTGAAAAAATATAAATTCCATTCTACATCATGCCAACGCTTAATTTTTACGTGTCATCAACTTGCCAGCCTCCAAATCTTCGGGTAGACCATCATAACGCAATTTGAATTCATCCAAACGGCAACAGAACGTATAACCCTTCGATAATGTTGGGAAATTGTCATGTTTCAAATCGGCCTGATCGCAGACATTTTCACAAATCTCCTCCGCTTCACCATCGGCGGCAAATGGATTATTCACGGTTACAAAGACAATACCTTCATCACTGGGCTTGTGCAACAGCACTTTGAAATAATATTTTGGTGCTTCAATCTTTTTACCATCATCCAAGAAAATATCAACCAATTGCCCGTTGTTCTTTGCCAATTGCAATTGACCCAAATAGCCATTATATGTCTCCAAATCATCTCCATACGAGGCAGCAACGGAACGTGCCAATTCTTCAACACGTAACCAATTGCCAGCATTGATTAGTTGATATTCGGGTGCAACATTTGTATAGAAATATGTGGCCAATTGTTCATAGCCAAAAATGAAATCAGCATCTGGTGTCAAATGGCCGCGGGCAAAGTAATCCGAACCATCAATATAGGTTTGTTTCGAACCGAACAATTTCTTGAATAATTCGACTTGATTGGCTTGGGTGTAGTATTCATTTGTTTTTTTGGTTGAATATTTCATGCCTTTGGCACTGAAGGCACGGCGTGTGCTTTCCGAAATGGAATCTATAACAAGGAAAAGGAGGGTTAATGTGCTGGAGATTCCATGTTCTTTTGTAAAATTCTCTACTTACTATCAATGGTAGCACCATTAATGGTATTATGTGTATACCAGGTATGCTCATCATCATCATTGTAGCATATCTCAAATACTGGACCATAGAATTTCTTGTTGACCGTAAAACCAGGTTGATGGATAACACCACGATTTTGTGAACATGCCTTATCGGTTGCTCTCAAAGTGGGACTGGGTATGGATTTACATACCAAATCCTTAAGATCATATTCATTGTTATTGCCATCAACAAATTTTTTTCCCGAACAGGTCAATTCCAATGTACTTTTCTTTTCAGAGACAATCACATTTTTCGATCCGGTGCAAGCCAATAAAAGTTTAGTGCCATTGGGTAATTTAGTTGTTTTACCAGTGGGTTTAAATAGTTCATAATCACTGTCGGAAGGGCTGCGTGTCAGAAGGACTGGAGCAAACCCCTTTACATCTTCGGGTAAGGTAATGCTGCAGGCATTGACCGCAATGGCTAAAAAGGAAAACAAATTAGATTATCCTTTCCTTAAAAAGAGAATTTGTTGTTAAATTTAAATATCCTTACCCAAACCACAAATTAAAGCCGAGATTATAACGAAGTTGAACATTTTTAAAAGAACCGTTAGTTGTACTCAAGCTATGTGTTTTCGAGAAACCGTTAGACGGTTATACATCTATAGCCATAATGAAGCAGTATATATAGTCCACATTGGGGAATGTTCTGTTCCAATACGTTTCTTGTTACATTGTTTGACTTCGTCTGGTCATGTGAAAGCAAAACTGCTATCAGTCTTGAGCGTGTACTATTTTCTATTGTTAACTGGACATTGTGTCCATTTGAATGAATGGATAGTCAATATTGATCAAATTTTATTTTTTATTCAATAACTGTATTCCGATGACTCAAATGTGGTAATGGAAGTGTCTTTTATATCGGTTTATAATAAATGTGTATCCATCATGTTGTTCTTAGATCTAATAAATGAGCTGTACCTTGTGAAATGCCTATGAGACATCTGGAACTAATATATAGCTTAGTAAAACAAAAATAGTTAGATTGTCTAAACCTTTACTATATCCAGACACATGCCTTAAAAATAAACTTCTGTTACAGCAATTATATCATCAAAATGCCGTTATTTAATATAAAACAAAACAATTGATATTTACTGACTCCGGACAATCGATTCAAATCGATACAATGTCCACTTAACAATAGAAACTAGTACACGTTTCAGTCTGGTAGCAGTTTTGTTTACACATGACCAGACGAAGTCAAACAATGTTACAAAAAAGTATGGGAACAGAACATTTCCCGATGTGGACTATATATACTGCTCCAAATGTATAATCATCTAACGGTGTCTTGAAAACACAAGAATTAGAAAAAACCAAAGGGTATTTTAAAATGTTCAAGTTCGTTGCAATCTCGGTCGTAATTTGTGGTTTGGGTAAAGATATTTAATTTAAAAAAGTATTCCCTTTTTAAAGAAAGGCTAATCCAAACTGTTTTCCTCTTTAGCCATTGCAGCCAATGCCTGTAGTATTACCTTACCCGAAGATGTAAAGGGGTTTGCCCCAGTCCTTTTGACACGCACCCCTTCCGACAGTGATTACGAATTATTTAAACCCACTGGTAAAACAACTAAATTACCCAATGGAACTAAACTTTTGTTGGCCTGTACCGGTTCGAAAAATGTGATTGTCTCTGAAAAGAAGAGTACATTGGAATTGACGTGTTCGGGAAACAAATTTGTTGATGGCAATAACAATGAATATGATCTTAAGGATTTGGTATGTAAATCCATACCCAGCCCCAGTTTGAGAGTAACCGATGAAGGATGCTCACAAAATCGTGGTGTAATACATCAACCTGGTTTTGAGGTCAACAAGAAATTCTATGGTCCAGTATTTGAGATATGCTACAATGATGATGATGAGCATACCTGGTATACACATAATACCATTAATGGTGCTACCATTGATAATAAGTAGAGAATTTTAAAGAATTTATACCGGAACAAGAATTCTCCACCATTTTTACCCTCTTTCTCTTTTCTCCCCGTAATAGATGCCATTTCGGAAAGTACACGCCGTGCGTTCAGTGCCAAAGGCATGAAATATTCAACCAAAAAAACAAATGAATACTACACCCAAGCCAATCAAGTGGAATTATTCAAGAAATTGTTCGGCTCGAAACAAACCTATATTGATGGTTCCGATTACTTTGCCCGTGGCCATTTGACACCAGATGCTGATTTCGTTTTTGGCTATGAACAATTGGCCACATATTTCTATACAAATGTTGCACCCGAATATCAACTAATCAATGCTGGCAATTGGTTACGTGTTGAAGAATTGGCTCGTTCCGTTGCTGCCTCGTATGGTGATGATTTGGAGACGTATAACGGATATTTGGGTCAATTGCAATTGGCAAAGAACAACGGTCAGTTGGTTGATATTTTCTTGGATGATGTTTAAAAGATTGAGGCACCTAAATATTATTTCAAAGTATTGTTGCACAAGCCCAGCGATGAGGGTATTGTCTTTGTAACGGTAAATAATCCATTTGCTGCCGATGGTGAAGCTGAAGAGATTTGTGAAAATGTCTGCGATCAGGCCGATTTGAAACATGATAATTTCCCAACATTATCGAAGGGTTATACGTTCTGTTGCCGTTTGGATGAATTCAAATTGCGCTTTGATGGTCTACCTGAAGATGTTGAGGCTGGCAAATTGATGAAACGTAAAAATTAGGTGTTGCAATTTTAAACAAATTATACATAAATTGTAAATTTGTGATTCGATTAATAAATTCAATATTAAATGAATTTGAATATTTGTTAATAGATGATAGGCATTTTTTATTGTTGTTTAGAATAATGTATGGAAAAATGTCCGAGGTAGGCTACAAATAACTAAACTGACACAAGAAGTCACTACTGAAATTTTACCTTTATATGGAATTTATAGCAAAAATGTTATTTCCTGTGATTTCGTTATAACCCTGAACCCTAATCTATTCTATAGTCATGAACTGCTGACTGGCTATGGACAGATTTAGACAATATGGGTTCTCTTTAAAGAGTTATTCTCAGAAAATCGATATTGGTCTTAGGATAGATGTAACACCCACATAACATTAGATCCAATATTTTGGTAGCTTGTGATTTTTTGAGATTTAAGGAAAAATATTCGTAAAAAGTGGTTATTTCTTGTGGCCAATGTGTTACATAATCTCGTTTGAAAACATTTTCACGCCCGTGTTCATTACATGACACATTTTAGCGACACTTTCCAATACCATCTGTTGCAGTCGAAATCGTTTACAACGACATATCGGCTATAACGACGAAATTCAAAAGTCCCGAATTTCTGCCCTTTATAGCCCACTGAAAAAATATCGCTTGTAACGACGACATATCCGCTGCAACGAGCTGTTATTCGAATTTTATATACATTTTAACGACGAAACGTACAAACAAAAATATTTATCACAAAATACCGAAAACACAGAATGTTCTTAAGTTTTTAAATTTGAATTTATTTTGGGTCTGTTCCCGTACTGCAAGAATCTACTCCATTTTACTATTTGCATCGATATCATAAAGGAATATTCGTTATCGTAGTAAAAAGTTGTAGATTCTTGCAGTACGGGAACAGACCATTTATTATTCATATATCAAAACAATAAAAATAATTTCGCTTACAATGACTATATCTGATAACCACCAAATCTTCCGATCCCTTGAGGTCGGTATAGGTGATTTCGACTCTGTATCTAAATAGGCAAAAAATGTCATTGTCTTTGTTGGCTTTAATTATAAATCAATGGGACGTATACATTTTTTGATCCACATGGACAATTGAATAAATATCTGTAAATCGCCTATAAGGATCCCTTCTGCAATAAAACCATCTTAAGCTCTTTTAAAAATAATCCTTAGTTCCTCCATAAAGATGTTCTAATTTTGTAGCCTTAAGATTATTTATAAAGACTCGGCTTAAGATCGTTTATAAAGACTTTCTGGATTCAAATACTATATAAAAACTCCCTGGATTACGTTCGTCTATAAATATTCCCTAAATTCTGTTCGCCTATAAAGGCTCTCTAAATGCAACTTTTTAATAATGAATATTTGGCCTCAGTTTGTCTATAAAGACTTCCTTATTTCAGTTTTTTTCTATATATACTCCCTTTCGCTTATCTTCCGTTCTTTAGCTCGGTTATAAATACTTCCTGTTTCAGTTCATCATCGAATCACATTTTTAAGAATCAGACTGTCTTTAGGTCCTCTATTAAGACTAAAGTCTACCTGTCTTCATTTCGTTTATAAAGACTCCTTGGCTTCAGCTCGTCCATAATGTCTTCGATTCAGCACGTCAGTAATGTTATCTCTAGCCCTTTCCAATTGAGTTCGTATAAAAATAGAGTGGCACTAGACTATTCCGAGATACTGTTCCTTTAGATACAACACACCCATAAATACTAACTCCCTAGATTATTTCGTCTATAAAGACTCCTTGGCTTCAGTTAGTCCATAAAGTCCTTGGGGGCTACTCTGTATTGCGATGCGTGAGAAAAATTGTAACGCATCGCGTAATTGGTACTCTCTAATTCGTTTTCGTATCTCCTTTCGCATCTACTTTACGCAAATGTGGCATCACCGCACTCTGTAATACGAAAACGCATGTCAAACTCGTTCGTTAAGCGCAAATATCTTGCGTTAACAAAATAGCAAACGCAAAGGAAGCGAAACATATAAGTAAGCTCCATTAAAGGTTTTATTTATATATAAATTGTAAATTATTTTAAGTAAAAGGCAAAAAAGTCACAGTTACAGACTCAGCAACGTCAGTTCCTAACTTCAGTAGATTTTATGGGGCAACACAGTGATTTGGCAAAGGGACAGTTGCAGAGTTCAAATGCGAAACAACGCGCCAACAATTTGTGGACAAAACTGTCTGATGACCTCAATTCAAATTGACCTCCTGTAAAAGATGTCGGTGGTTGGAAAAAGTAAAATATTATTTTTTTATATAAAATGTGAAACTATGTGTGCATATTTATAGGTTGGTGTTGATAACCACCTTGTCCAAGCAATTTCAAAGCAGCGGCCTCTTTTATTGGAGTTGGAATTGTTGTGGATCTATTTGAAACGACGAGCGTTTGAAAAATACATAAACGAATCTTTATTGAGACATTATATATAAATCTATAAAAATTAAATATTTGAAAACATTTGTCACATAATTCGTACTTATATTTTCATACCCGTGGTCACTTAGGGAGAGTATATTTGATAGATCTCATAAAATTCTTTTTTTTTTAATTCGTTCATCATTTTTGTTTAAAAAAACACTCGTACCACACAAAAATATGTTTTCATTTACAATTTTTTGACGTTTCCTTTTGTCATTCTTCGTTATTGTTTACTTTGTGGCGACAGTGTTGCCCCATTTTCAATTTAGTTTGCGAATGCGTTTGCGTGAACGTTACAGAGTACCAAATTGTACTCTTAACGCATTTAGCTTTCGCATCGCACTTGCTTTCGCAACGCAATACAGAGTAACCCCCCTTGTATTAAGATCATCTATAATGACCTTCAGCTCGGTTATAAAGACTCTCTGTTTCAGCTCGTCTAAAAAGACTCCCTGTCTTCGGGTTGTCTATTAAGACTAAAGGCTGCCTGTCTCTATTTCGACTATAAAGACTGCTTGGCTTCAGCTCGTCCATAAAGTCCTTGGATTAAACTCATTTATAATGGCATCTCTAGCCCTTTTCAATTGAGTTTTTATCAAAATACAGTGCCACTTAACTTTTGTACGTTACTCAAAACATTTATTCCAAGTCAACTTGTGGTAAAGGATTTTTCATAGATACTGATCCGGTCGAAATAAGTTGAAGGATGGTTGAATTCTTACGACTTTAGACAGTACACCATTGAAATACAATCGAAATTAATGTCTCCGATCCCACAAGGTATATATAACTTACATATTATTAATATTCATGGAGATCAAAAATTATAAATATAGGACATATATTTTAATACATTTTTACTTGATTTTTATTAAACAAATTATTTTTTCTTATATAATATACACAATGAATAATCTAAATCAACTAAAAGAAAGTCGTCTTCCTTGACTCCTTCAACACACACTCCCTCTCTATCTATGATGATTGCTTCTTTTCAATATCTTCCAAGGCTTTCAAGAATTTCTGATCTTGTTTTTCACGATGTTCCTTGATTGCCTGTTGCAGCGTCTCACGATGTCCCAAACTTTCTGGTGGATATAGTTCACGCTTCTTTTTGGTTACCCATTCTTCGAAATATGCCGGTTGATTGAAAATGTGAAACATGGCGACCGGGAATGTCATGTACATTGCCATTTTGAATACTTCAAGTGACCAGCTACCCATTTTCGTCTAGTTTTTGATGAGATTTATTGGGAATATATGGAAAATTTCTTTTGTTGTCTCGGCCAGGTTAAAATGCTACCCAGCTGATAGTCGAGCAAATCAAAACAATATGATAGGGGTATATAATTCGAATATCACTGTGGATGTTAGGTTTTGAAACAGCTGACCATGTTGGAGCAATTACGTATATGCTTAATTAGTGGCTACGTATCGGAACACTAACGGAAATTAAAGTAAATAAAACTGTGTGTAATAATCACGCTATCTTCCGAAAGAATTGCGATAGTGTGGTGAAATTTTGTACACCAGTATCTTTTTGTATGATCTCATAGCTTCGAAGATGGCTTATATCATAGGTGCCCATCAGTATACTTTAAAGTAGCTGCCTACTCACACGCATTGTTATGCTCTTTCAGTCAGTCGTTGTTTGACAGGCAACGAATGAACACATGCTGGGGTGCGCGCACGACGTCGTGTCCGCAGAACTAGAAAATCAACGAAATAACACTTAGGGATAAAAGTGTTTCAGTATATTTGGATTTTTATTTTATTATTCAAAATGCGTTTTGTATGTTTAAAAAATTTTAGAAACAACAGAACAATTTCTGTTTTTTTAAAGAATTAAATATTTGATAATTATCGTAGTATTTAATATTATAATATGATTATTATCTCGGTATATGCTACTTTATAAACTTTATTATATTTTTATGACATATACACTTTGTAATTCATATAAAAACATTTTTAATAATGCTTTTATTTTATATAATAACAAAAATTGAATTCATCAATAATTTTTCCGACCACAAAAATGTACACACAATTTTGTTCAGTACTGTTCTGTTTTCTCTCACACATACTAACGCATTTTAATTTTGGGCACCTATGCTTATATCGATAATATGAAATCCTGATACCTACTAAAAATTTTCATAATGCGGGTTTTGTCTCATATAACTGGCTGTAATGTAATATTTCAGATTCTTTTGTTTAGCAGATCCCTCTAGAAAGTACAATCGATATTGGTCCTTTGTTAGATTCAACGTCTATTTACGGTAGATCTAATTTTCGGTATTTTGAAGATTTTAAGAATATTTTTCGTCAAATGTTGCTGCAGAATTTCAAAAAATTGGTTTTTGAGCGTTTTTCAAGTAGAAATTCCCCTCTATATCTAGGAAGGCGGAAGGAAGGTTCGAATTTTCCATATTCCTTTCTATATAACTTACCACCTCGTGCAGTGCAGATTCTACAGACTTGCCTTTTATATATGCGTGTGGCGAATTGCTAAGAGAGGTGGTGTCTATACGACTCCTAATCTCCATGTCGATCAGTCTTTCGAGAGTCTTGAGGAGAAAGGATGATAGGCTAATGGGTGTATAGTCCTTTAGTGCAGAGTGGCTTGGTTTACCCGCTTTGGTAATGTAAGTAACCTATACCTCGTTCCATAGACCCGGAACGCACGAGAGAGTCAAACACGTCGTATAGATCTTCTCAAGGATCAGACATATATACTTGGCGAGGCAAATTGAAGCATCGCCGGTGTGATTCCATCTGGTCCTGGCGATTAATATGTTTTGAATGTAGTGACTGCCCAGCGTATCTTATTTCTGTTAAACACATTGCCAATGAGATCCGAATCTAGAGTCGCACGAGGCTGAGTGTCATCACGTTCACCTATGTGGATAACATATCTTTGCAACCTGGGAAGTGAGTCTCAGCTGGGAGACTAAGAGTTTCAGGACTAAAGTTCGTCCACGCTCCATCCTGTTTCTTGATACTCCCGATGGATTTTGGATCCTTGGATAGTAATCTTCGAAACCTCGCAACGTCGTTGACTCCTTCTATCAACTTACAGAAATGTATCCAAGACTTTTCTTCGCACGCTTAATCTTACTCTTGTATTTGTTGAAACTTGCTTTATAGGAGTTCCAGTCAATATCGAGTTTTGATTTATGCGCCCGTTGTACAGTCGCCTGGTCGCTTTCCTGAGCTCACCAAGTTCTCCGTTCCACAACAATGGCTGAGATTTTTTCCCAGGGTATGTAAGCGGACAGAATTCCTCATGGCATCCCTGGCCTTCAGTTCGTCTCTACAGACTCTCTGGGCCTCAACTCGTATATATAGGCTTTTTGCTCGCCTATGAAGACTCATTGGCCTCCAGCTCGTCTATGCCGAGTCTCGGGCATTTAGGTCGTCTATAAAGACTCTTTGTACGTCTATAAAGACTACGTTCTTTCAATTCGTCCTTAAATTTTTCTGGCCTACCGCACTTCAATAAAGACTGCCTGGCTTAAGGTAGATCCTCTGAAGGAAATGGAAAGAATATTCTATTTTTTTCCATGAATAGAATATTCTATATTATGAAATATATTCTCTCAGTGTACGAATATTTAGCATCTATTTAGCACAACAAAGACATCATGTGACATACATATTTTGGTAATAAATGTATGTGCATTTCTATTTTATTAATAATGCAATTTTATTTAAAAACACTTTTTTGTTTGTTTGAATTTAAGGTGAATAAACTCCAAACACGTCCACCTACCAACCAAATCAAAACAAACGGTAAATGTTTGTGATATTCAAATCAGTTGACGAAAATATAAAGTGACCGGTCTGTATATTTTTGTACGCAATAAAACACACATATTTAAATCGCTTTGAATTAAAATTCAGCAAATGTTAAACAAATGGGATCGCAACGTTTTGAATAATAAAAAAATATTGAACTTGGTAGAAGGGCAAAATGTACAGTTATAAATACAATTTGAAGATGATGATGAAATTCTCTGCAGACAATCGTATTGAGTTTAATATTGGCGTGTGGTTTAATTTGATTAATTCGGATTTAAATATAGTTTTAATAATTTTGTTATTCATTTGAATGGTATGGATTTTGACCTTCAGGATTTACCCTTAAGATTATAAAATTTTCCTTCCGCTTGTCTATAAAGACTCCTGCCTTCAGATTGTCGATAAAGACTCCCTTCTTGAACTCCCTGTTTTCAACTCGTCTATTAAGACTTTTTGTTATCAGCTCGTCTATGGAGACTCCCTTGACCTCCTATCGCCTATAAAGACTCTCTGGACCTCAGCTCTTTTATAAAGACTTCCGAGTCAAATCTATGAAGACTCACTGGCTCTCAGCTCGCCTATAAATAGTCAATGTCCCTCAGATGTTCTATAAAGACTCCCAGGCCTTCAACTCTTCTATAAAACTACTTGGCCTTCTGCTCCTCTATAAAGACTCCCTGGACTTTAGCTCATCTTAAATTCCCCCTTGGCCTTCATATCGTCTATAAAAACTCGTATATAAAAAATTTGGACCTAATTTAATTTAATATAGCCTTCCTACAGACATCAACTTTTTAAAAATGTTTATATAGTTTTTTTATAATTTAATTGAATTATTTATGATTATTTTATTGTACCAATTGAGTCAACATGACATTTTATGGGAGCAACAACAAACATAAATCTGAGATTAAAATCTAAGAGTAGCCCAATCCCTCTCGTAAATAATCAATGAATAAATAAAAGCTTCTCTTCCAACTTCGTAAAGTATAACTAATAATACAAACAAACTCCAACGGACACGAGTAAATAAAATTAGAAAAAAATATTCATTTATCTAATATTTTATTTATTTATAAATTTGCATTTTTTATTAGTCCAACCAAAAAAAAAAATAACGAAAACCAACACTCTTGATATCGTTTTACTATTGCGACGGTCGAATATAGAAAACGACGTGTGGCAAAAACAAATTTATCGTTCTATTATCAATTTTGCTAGATAAAAAAAGAGCAAGCCAGCTAGAGGGAGAAAAATTCGCTCGAGTTCCTCCAAGTGATATGTGAGTGTGCAAAAAACAAAATTGAAATTATCTCACACAATAAATTTGGAAAGTTCCACCGTGCTCAATGTCGTCGCCGTTGCCCATTTATTGCAGCAGATTTTGTTTACTACTACGATGTCAGGTGGGCTTGCCTTGTTTTTTATTTTATTTTTGAAATTGTTTGTCCAAGTGTTGTTACTTCGTCCCTATCTACTGATTAATGTATGTTTATGATATTTTCCAAAAATAAAAATAAGAATATTTAGATTAGTCGGCGAATGGGTATGGAAGAAACCCGGTAGTTAAAATATGGGTCAAAACTTATACTATTTGTGTTTGCGTTACCGTAGTTTCTAGCAAATGGCCAAAGGTTTTATTTATTGTCTAACCCATATTTAAAAAAATAATTACTGGCGAAGTTCGAGAATATTGAGATTTTGAGAACACACACAAAAATTTCTGAAAAAAAAAAACAATTCACGGAAGAGAATCTAAAATAGAGCTTGACATTACAAAATAGATAAAATAAAAGGGCTGGGCCTTGTCCATATGAACACCATGACCCTTTAGATCGTGTATATTAACGCCTAATACTTCTGATGCTCTATATAAACTCCCCGCATCAGTATGTCTATAAACAATACTTGCCTCAGCTCTGTGAAGACTACGTGACTACAGATCTTCTATAGATGATGAGGTCGTCTATGAAGACTTATTTTTCGACTCCCTGCTTCTGTTCATATATAAAGACTCCCAGTTCTGGCTCTACTGTAAAGTCTCCCTAACTTCAGCTCCGCTTATATTTAAGCTATAAAAACGTCTTGCAACTTGTCCTAAAATACTGCCTTCATCTGATCTAAAAATATTGCCATAAGCTTTCCTATAAATACTCCAATTGACCTACAAAAACTCGTCTATAACAATTTCCTTCTAGACTTCTCTAAAAACGTCCTACAACTCGTCATTAAGGACTCAGATCATCTGACTCCCCGGCCTTTATCTCTATAAAGACCCTTTGGTATTCAGCTCGTCTATTAAGACTCCCTGACCATGAGATCACCTAAAAAGACCCCCTGGCCTTCAGCTCGCCCATAAAGGGTCCTTTTGCTTTAGCTTGTCTATAAAAACGCCTTGGCCTTTAGCTCGTATAAGAAAGACGTCCTGGCCTTCAGCTTACCTATAATGACTCTCTGGCCTTCTGCTCGCCTATAAAGACTCTCTGGCCTTCAGCTCGCCTATAAAGACTCTCTGGCCTTGTGACCTTTAAAGACTCAGATAATCTGACTCCCCGGCCTTTACCTCTATAAAGACCCCTTGGTATTAAGCTCCTCTATTAAGACTCCCTGGCCTTCAGATCGCAGAAAAAACCCCCCGCGCCTTCAGCTCGCCGATAAAGACTGCCTTGCTTCAGTTTGTCTATAAAAACTCCCTGGCCTTTAGTTCGTATATGAAAGACTTCCTGGCCTTCAGCTTGTCTATAAAGACATATTTGCCTTAAATTCGTCTATAAAGTCTCCTTGGTCTTCAGCTTGTCTATAAAGACTCCCTGGCTTACAGCTCGTCCATAACGACACCCTGGCGTAAAACTCGTCCATAACGACTCCCTGACTTCAGCACGTCCATAAAAACTCTCTGCTTCACACCTCTACCTCCGGAGCTCCTTATATATATATATATCCTTCTTCAGAATAAAATTCTATGTCGATTATTTTTTTGATTATATTATCACTATGACTCTCTGACCTTCAGATCGTCTACAGAGACTCACTAGCCTTTAGCTTGCCTATAATGACTCCCAGCCCTTCAGCTCGCCTATAAAGACCTCTTTGCCTTAACTTCCTCTATAAAGTCTCCTTGTTCTTCAGCTTACCAATAAAGACTCCCTGGCCTTCAGCTCGCCTATAAAGACTTCTTGGCCTTCAATTCGCCTGTAACGACTCACTGAAATTCCTCTCCTATACAAAGACTCCCGGTTTCATGCCTCTACCTACGGAGATCCCATTAAATATATATATTCTTGATCAGAATAAAATGATATGTCGATTATATTTTGGATTCTCATTGGGTAGAAGCAAAATCTGCATACCAAAAATGATCAATATTGACCCAAATTTCAAGGTGGCGCCCATATAACGGTACTACCTCCGGAGATCCCGTTAAGTATATATATTCTTTCATATACGAGCTGTCGATTATATTTTGGATTCTCATTGTGTAGAAGGAAAATCTGCCTACCAAAAATTATCAAAATTGGCCCAAATTTCAAGGTAGCCTCCATATAACGGTAACCTTAATTTTCGATATTTTCAGAATTTCTGAATTAGTGATAATTTGATATTTTGAATTCTCAATGGATATTAAGTCCTAATATAAAAAATTATCATTATCGGTCCACTTTTTGGTATAGCCCCCATACAAATATACCCTCAATTTTCCATATTTTGAGGATTTTAGACACATTTTTCAATCGAATTGACTAAAATGTAATATTTTGGGTTCTCAATGGGCGTCAAGTCTTCATACCGAAACCTATCAATATCGGTCCACATTTTGGTATAGCCCCCATATAAAGATACCCTCAATTTTCGATATTTTGAGGATTTTAGACACATTTTTCAATCGAATTGGCAAAAATTTTATTTTTTGGGTTCTCATTGGGTGTTAAGACTTCATACTAAAAATGATCAGTCCACTTTTTGGTATAGCCCCCATATAAAGATACCCTCAATTTTCGATTATTTGAAGATTTCAGACACATTTTCCAACCGAATAGTTGAATTCCGATTTTTTCTTCTATCTACATTGTTTTGCATTTAGAAAAACAATTATCCGACTATAGATTTGTTTACCCACTAGTTGTGATAAACTAATAATACCAAACACAATCCGCAAATATACTTAGGTGTACTTATCACAGATTACAATTACTGTTATTACTGCGCCGAATCTTTATTTTTGACTTATGTCCGCAACGACAACAACAACAACTACTGTCATTGAGAGAAAGTAGTAGCGGCAGCAGCATTAGTAAATAGTATGGGTGTTGATGGGGATGTTTTAGTACCAGCGTAAATTTTTAGAACGAAAGTGAATGAAGAGAGTAAAAAAGACTATCAGGCAGTACACCACACAACACCACCAATCATCACCAATAACAACAATTATGCCAAAACGATGAAATCGAGAGAGGGAGAGATACAGAGGAGCCACGAGAATATTCTCTTTAGATATCTCCACAATCTATGCCAATGAAGAGGTATTCTGTAAGGAATGAATGTATACCAACATTCAGTGCTTCCATGCATTCCGTTCCGTATTGTACATAACAAGAACCGAGAGTTTTAGCGGGACAAATATCGTAGCCGAAAAAAACATCAGCAAAAAGCAACAACAAACGTGATTTGATTTTTTGTGGATTTGCTGAAGAAAAAAAAAACACATACAAAAACTACAACCATGCGTGCTGCCTTAGGTTTAAAACACGTAACCAGAGCTTCCAAAAATGTTAAACATTTTTCCTCATTGGCCGAGCCAACCGGCCCTGTGGTCAAAACCGCAACCATTCCTGGACCCAAATCCTTGGAATTGAAAAAACAAATGGGTGCCATCCAACAAGCTGGAACTGTTCAACTTTTTGCCGATTACGAAAAGTCCACTGGCAACTATTTGTGTGATGTTGATGGTAATGTCCTTTTGGATGTCTACACACAAATCTCCTCCGTACCCCTGGGCTACAATCATCCCAGACTATTGAAAATCTTCGAAAACAACACAAATCTGAAGACCTTGATTAATCGCCCCGCCTTGGGTGTATTCCCCGGCAAGGAATGGCCAGAGAAATTAAACAATGTGTTCATGCAAGTGGCACCCAAGGGCCTGAACAACATGACCACCATGATGTGTGGCTCCTGCTCCAACGAGAATGCCTACAAGGCCATTTTCATGTGGTACAGACGCACACAACGCGGCGAAGATGTCACCTTCACGGAGGAGGAGAAAACTTCCTGCATGGTCAATATGGCACCTGGTGCTCCCAAATTGAGTTTGTTGTCCTTCAAGGGTGCCTTCCATGGTCGTACCATGGGCGCCTTGGCCACCACCCATTCCAAATATATTCACAAAATCGATATTCCAACATTCGACTGGCCTGTGGCTAGTTTCCCTCAATACCGTTATCCCTTGGAGGAGAATGTTATGTACAATCAGGATCAGGATAAACGCTGTCTAGCTGAGGTGCAAGATTTGATTGAACAATACAATAAGAAGGGTATTCCCGTGGCTGGTGTTGTCATTGAACCCATCCAGAGTGAGGGTGGTGACAACGAAGCCTCCCCCGAATTCTTCCAGCAATTGCAGCGCATCTGCAAGGCCAACGGCATGGCTTTGTTGATCGACGAGGTGCAAACTGGTGGTGGTGGTACCGGTAAAATGTGGTGCCACGAACACTTCAACCTGCCCTCTCCTCCCGATGTAGTTACCTTCAGTAAGAAAATGCAGTTGGGTGGCTACTTCCACAGCAATGAATTCGCCCCCAAAGAAACCTACCGTATCTTCAACACCTGGATGGGTGATCCAGGCAAAATCCTCATGCTCGAAGAAATCGTCAAGGTCATCAAAGAAGAAAATCTGCTGGATCAGGTGCAACGGTCGGGCAAGGTCCTGAAGGACGGTTTGTTGCAATTGGAAAAGGAATTCCCCACAATTATGAACTCGACCCGTGGTCGTGGTACCTACTTGGCTTTCAACTGCAAGGATGGCCAAACTCGTGATGATTTGATCAACAAATTGAAACTGAACGGTTTGCAGACCGGCGGTTGTGGTGATTTGTCTGTACGTTTTAGGCCAGCATTGATCTTCACCGAGAAGCATGCCAATATCGTGTTGGATCGTTTCCGCAAGGTCCTTAAGGAAATGTAAACAACCAAAGAAGGGTAGCTTTCTTTCTACTACATCTACAAAATCTCTAGGAGCACTAGGAGCTAAAGATATGCATTTCAAAGACACACAAAAAAGCACGCTCGCGCCTGCAACGTTACACGCACACATACACACAAATAACAAATCGGGGGAAATTATTTAAATTTATTTATTAGCTATAGAGAATTGTTTGAAACGCAACAGAAATTGTCCTAAATTTCTACAATTATCGGTTGTCGGAATAGCCAAATTCTGAATAGTGTACCTACCTACTATTATTATAGTCGTCTGTCTGTACACATACATATTTGCATCAATTTATGTTTTTGCTTTAATTTAGACAATAAATTCATAAATCGTACTACAACAACAACAATAAGCATTTTGTACTAGTAGTGTTGATTGAAAACAATTGCTGTTAAGATTCGGTTTGTATGTCCGCACCTCATGACAGGGGTTCGGGGCTTCTGGTGAATGCTCTGATGGATGCTATTGTGAAACCCAACATTCATTTTAATGACAACGATGATGATTTCTTTCAATTGAATTGTTTTTGTTTTTTTTTTTATGGAAAATTATGGGACTTGATTTTAAATTTAATAAAAAACGCCAATTCATTCTGAGTAGTGAAAGTCTTTTGTGATTATAGATGAGTAAGAGATAATAGATTGAAATGAAGGTCAAAATTTTAATCAATAGTTCTCATGAAAGGCATTGACCTGCCTCACAGGGGGGGTTTCGTTGGGAATATATAAAACAAGTGCTAAATAAGCCTTTGATACTATAAACAATGCTTGTATGCTTATTACACAATACATATATTGATTACGTAGTTGAATGCAGATTTGAAGAACGATGGGTGATACTTATGTATGTGACGTACATAAAATTTTATGGAATATATTTTTGATTTTATTTGAAATTGATATATGAATTCCAAATTAAAGGAGGTTGTCATTGTCAATTTCATAGTAGTAAGCATGGTACAATAATTACAAGGTAGGATATGTTTTAAAATATAATATTAATATAACTCTGTAACTGTGGCCACAAACTTCAAAAATGTTTTGTGTCAAACTTCAACTTCATTTATTTTTGTTTACAAATGTCAACAAAGCGCTTGAAAACAAAGAATAAACATCAATAATACTAGGTTTATAAAATCCAATATTTCCTAATCGATATATTGGTTTTAGTCCCCATCTTACTTTGGAGCAAATCCGTTTCAGACAATTTGGAAGTAACCGATTTCATCCAAACTTTGCACATCTTAATATTTCGTTAAAACTTAGTTCAGGTTCAAAAATGGGGAATATCGGTCCACTCCTTCTGTCAAAGTTTGATGAAATCGGTTACTCCCTTGGAGAACTATCGTGACGGGAGGAAATTTGTAAATTGATTTCAAATTGTCTGAAACGGATTTGGTCCAAAGTAACATGGGGACTAAAACCAATATTTCGAAACTTGCCAGAGATTAATGTATATTAATTTCAGTACGTTGTGTCGATCGGTCTAGCTATGAATCTTTAGGTGTACACATCATTCTAGACTTAATTCAATACGCTATGCCAAAATTCGTGCAAATCGAATGATTTTCAGAGATTTTGGTGCACCATTTACCTAAAATCGAACGAAACTATGTGTGGAAGCTAAATCTGAACCGATGTTCACAAAACTTAGCACACGTCATTCTAGACTTAATTCAATACGCTATGCCACAATTCGTGCAAATTACTTTGTTGCACCATTTACCTAAAATCGGGTGAAACTATATATGGGAGCTATTTGTAAATCTAAACCAATTTTCACGAAAATTAGCACAAGTAAGTAAGTAGCATTCTGGACTTAATTCAATACGCTATGCCAAAATTCGTGCAAGTCAAATGATTTTCTGGAACTTTGGTGCACCATTTACCTAAAATCTAGCGAAACTATATATGTTAGCAAAATCTAAATCTGAACCGATTTTCAGGAAACTTAACACACATCATTCTAGACCTAAATCATTACGCTGTGCCAAATTTTGTGCAAATCGAGAGATGTATAGAGACTTTGGTGCACCATTTACATTAAATCGGACGAAACTATATATGAGAGCTATATCTAAATCTGAACCGATTTTTCCCAATTTCAATAGGGTTTGTCTTGGGCCAAATAAGTGTCCGTTGCCAAATTTCATCCAAATCGGATCATAAATTCTGTACTTTGTTCACAAAAATACATGGACGGACGGTCGGACAGACGGACAAGCATAAATCGACACTATCTCGCTTACTTTTGCCTGTTACAAACATATGCACAAAGCCATTATACCCTGTACCACAGTGAAGGATAAAAAAACAATATTTTCAGACTCGACTTTTTAAAAAGTATATTGTTTTTATTTAATAGAATAGATTATTCATATATATATATATATATATATATTGTTACGTTCTTGGATTTTACTTAATCCCGTGTAGACGTTGTTTTATTTCCCAGTACGGTTCGTACTAAATAAAACGCGGGTTCTTTCCGATTACGATTATTACAATGACTTTATTGACACAATTTACTTTGCACGTTACTTTACAGCTTTACGTTACTTGACTGTTTCAATTCGCGATCTGATTCACAACTGACTAACTGCCTTTCCATTTCCCCTATTTATATGAGCCTCGCCTGTCGCTACAGAAGTTTCTAGGCGATCTGGTAACACCTAGATTACGAACAATCTACAAATGCAACAAACACTTACAACCTTACATTGAGTAAACAATAACAACAACACATATACAGGCGAGGGGGTAACAAAGAAAGAGGAATTAAGCGATCATCAATGATGACGTTTAACAAGAATTGTACGTCAATAACAAAATAGAAAATGAAAGAGGAAATGGAAGGATGTAGAAAGATCTATACAGTAGTTGTTGTTGTGAAGTTATTCGAATAAACTGCGTAGTAGAAATTTACGTTACAATTCAAATTCTTAAATTAACGGAATTCATCTAAATTTACTTAAATCTAAAGTTATATTCATAACATTGCCCCCCGCTTAAGCCTGTTCGTCCCGAATAGGCACAGCCCCCGTTCCGCAGGGGGTCAGCCGCTCCAAATGTACAACTTTCATCTTCGACCTGGGACTGTCGCTCCTCTGGATGCGATAAACGACGTCATTTATTTTCGTGACAATCTTGTAGGGTCCTTCCCAGTGCGTTTGCAATTTGGGGCATAGTCCTTTTTTCCGTTGCGGGTTGAACAATAGTACCATTTGCCCTTCTTGAAACCCATCGCCGCCCATATTTGCCGCTCTTGCCTTGCCTACATGCGGTTGCTAACCATTTTTATTCGATGGCGAACTGCATCATGGACTTTACTAAAAGAGTTTTGACTGCCTTCATCTTGGTTCACATCGTCGTTTGGGGTAGCACCGAATATCAAATCGCCAGGTAGCTTTAATTCATTTCCGAACAGAACTTTGGCTCGGGTCCGGGATGTGGAATCATGAATGGCCGATCTATAAGCCAGTAAAAACTTTGGAATATGTTCATCCCAGTCTCGTTGGCCACTGTCCACCACTTTCCGTAGATGTTCTTCCAGGGTGCGATTGAATCTTTCCACCATGCCATCTGATTGTGGATGTAGGGGCGTCGTTCTGGTTTTCTTGATTCCGTAGGAGTCACACATTTCCTTGAAGATCGCTGATTCAAAATTCCTACATTGATCGGAATGAACCTCAGATGGAACACCATAGCGACAAATCCAATTTTTGCTGAACACATCCACAATTGTCCTGGCTTCTTGATTTGGGATAGCATAAACCTCTGGCCATTTGCTGAAGTAATCCATGACCACTAAGACATACCGGTTCCCAGAGTCGCTTATTGGGAACGGTCCAGCTACATCCATTGCGATTCTTTCAAAAGGGGCTCCTGAATTATACTGCTGCATGTAGCCTCGACTCTTCCGTGTTGGACCTTTAGCTCTTATGCACCTTTCACAATTGGCGATCCAGTCGGCAATGGATTTTTGACAGCCGACCCAGTAGAATCTCTGCTTTACCTTTTCAGCGGTTTTTGCTATGGCAAGATGTCCTCCGCTTGGCCTATCGTGAAACTCCGACAAGACATCTCTTATTTTGGAGTCTGGGACGACGATCAAGTTCCGGTGAGATTTACCGTCCTCACTTTCCCATTTGCGATATAGGCAACCATCTATTATAAGTAGACTGTCCCACTGGGCCCAATAGGATTTTAAAAGAGGGCTTTCGGAGATAATTTCTTTGCGACTAGGTCGCTTGCCCGTTTCTATGGGCGAAATTATTTTGCCCAGAATGGGATCTCTTCGTTGTTCCGTCGACCAATCTTCACCCGACTCAAACTGCAATAGTCGGACATCAACGATATTCTCTTTATTCTCAGCCTTTGAGCAATGCCTGCATTCTACCTTGCATGGACGACGAGACAGGGCATCAGCATTACCGTGTTTTCCGCCTTTTCTGTGCTCGATTCTGAAATCATAACTCTGGAGCCTCTCGATCCAACGGGCTAGTTGACCTTCCGGATTCTTAAACTGCAGCAACCATTGGAGAGCAGCGTGGTCGGTCCTCAACAGGAAATGCTGACCATATAGGTATTTGTGGTAGTGTTTAACGCTCTCAAGGACAGCAAGCAGCTCTCTCCTCGTCACACAGTAATTCCTCTCAGACCCGATGACTCTTTCCTGTCCGTCGATTTCCTGGGAAAGGACGCCACCGACGCCGCACGCACTTGCGTCTGTGTCCAAAGCAAACTTTCCGCCAGGTATAGGGTATGCCAAAATGGGGGCTCTGCATAGCAGGTCTTTGAGCTTTCTGAATGCCTCTTCTTGGTCGTTGCCCCACTGAAACCTCTGGCCTTTTTGCGTCAAGCGGTGTAGACAGGCGGCGATGTTGGCAAAATTTGGGACAAATCGACGGTAGTAGGTGCAGAGACCCAGAAAGCTTCTCAGCTCATGGAGATTTCGGGGCTACGGCCAATCTCTG